TAGATCTTTGTTTTCACCAAAACCATCCGCTAGATAATCTTTCAAACAATCAAAGTAGCGGTACATGGGCTAGCCCGGGTTGATATTTAAACATACTTGCCCTATATTGCACCCATCTAAGGTTTATACTTGGGCCTTAGGTGGTATTTTATTGTGATATTCGGAGCGATACAATGGGATACATGACCGAAGATTACTTCCAATTGAAGGTAGAGATCGAGGCGCTTATCTGGAAAGGACATTTGGCGCACTTCATCCACGAAATTGAGGAACAAAAAACAGAGACACAATACTCCCTCCACTGCCGTAATAAGAATATGATGAGGACAGGGGTGCATACATCATGCACAAAGAAATAGGCGTCGTAATAAGAGAAGGGAAAAGGCCACAGAAGAAGACAAAGTGGGAACACGCCATCGAGTGTGTGTCAGCCAGACTTAGGTGACCACTAAAATGGAATTCATTGAATCAGAGTTACGGCATCCCATATGAGGACTTGCTAACCATAACCGCCCTTATAGATGCGTGCAAGGTACATAGACTACTAATAGACAGAGTCAGTGCGGCTGATATCCTCTTCAAGAGAACGTTAGATCAAATGGATATAGATCAGCGAATGATCAAGCACGCGCAAGGGAACCTCATGGGCTTCTACAAAGCGTGAGTTGCGGTAATCGAAGCTTTCACGCTTCTGGTCATGCTCGTAGATCAAGAGCCAAGAGTCTCAAAGCAAATTGAATTCACAATCATGAATTGCGAGTCACCGCATAACAGCATCTTGGGTGGCCCATTTCTAGCAAAGTTCATGGCGCACCCATCTACATGCCACCAGAAGTTCAAGTTCCCAACCAAAAAAGGCACGGGTGTGGCACGCGGTCCAGCATGGAGCCTAGTGGAACAAGAAGCAGCTCCACACCAGACGAATATCATCGACACAAGGTCCGAGGAGCCTCGTCCTTAATCAATGGACTCCGAATTTGAGGTGGCACTAAATCCCACGAAACCAGCTTAAAAAGTGCACATCTCAACACATATTCTTGACAAAATGGTGGAGTCATTAATCTGTCTATTAAAAGAGTATGAGGAATTTTTCTCACGGTGTAAGGAAGATATGCTTGGAGTTCCAAGTGAAGTGGTGCAATGGTTCCTCGTGGTTTCGATACACGTGTAACCACGCCAACAAGCGGTATATTCACCGGAGAAAAAATCAAGGCTATGAAAGATGAAGTGTCACGTCTTCTCGCTGCTATATAAAATCCGTGAGGTCAAATACCCAAAGTGGCTATCCAATGTGGTATTAGTGAAAAAAAGCCTCAGGTGCTTGGAGAATGTGTGTTGATTACACAACAATCAACAAGGCATGCCCTAACAATCAACAAAGCCTGCTGGTTGACATAACTTCAGATCACGAGACACTATCATTCTTAGGCATGTTCTCCAAATATCACTATATCTCAATAAGCACGAAGAAGAGGATAAGACCGCCTTCATGACACTATTTGGAAACTTTTGCTTCATTGGAATGCCTTTTGGCCTAAAGAATGTGGGCGCTACATATCAACGAATGATAAATACGGTCTTCTCACACCAGATTGGAAGAAACATTGAGGCATGCGTTGATGACCTCGTTGTCAAAACCAAAGAGGGCCGATCTCACCTCGATGATCTCCGTGAGACCTTCCAATATCTTTGTGCCCATAATTGTCACCTAAATCCACTGAAATGTGTCTTTGGCACCGAAGCGGGAAAATTCTTGGGTTTCATGATAACAAGGCTCGACATCGAGGTTGACCCAAAGCCAATCATCGCAGTCCACCAGCTGAGATCGCCAAGGAACACCACAGAGTGGTGCTTGATACTGACCCAGAAGGAACGTGGGAAGTTCATGTAGACGGCGGGGCCAGCAAACATGGTGCATGTGCAAGGATAGTAGTGCACACTCCATTATGCATGATACACGAGATTACCATCCGCTTCGGAATTTTAAAAACCAAATATGCTGCTGAGTACAAGGAAATCCTAGCTGGGTTAGCGGCAGCAAAGGAACTGGGAGTTCAAACAGTAAGAGTGTTGTCAGACTCGGCCTCAGTAAAGCAGTTTAACGGTGCCTTTGACGTATAGGAGAAGACCATCATGCAATACATAGATCAATTAAAAAAGTTTGTCGCGTCGTTAGACTCAGTAACATAGTCTAGATACCAAGGGAGGAGAACATCCATGCACATGCCTTATCAAAGTTGGCAACCGCCACCGACTTCGAAGAGTCGCCTCTAGTATTAGGCTAGAAGGAGGACTACGAGTCACACATCACTATTCAAGTTAGTACAATGCAAAATGAAGAGGAGGAAGACTAGCGTGCACCAATCATCATATACCTACACAACAACATCGTCCTAGAAGACCCAAAAGACGCATGGACGCTAAGACAAAAAGTGTCCCACTGCATAATGATTGGGGAACCTTGCACAGACGCTGACACTCCGACGTCTATATTAAATGCCTGGGAAGCAAAGACGCACATAAAGTTGTGAAAGACTTACACGAGGGAATCTGCACCATGGACAATGGGTCAAGAAGCTTGGAGTTCACAATCTTGCTACACGGTTACTATTGGCCAAGAATAAAGTTACCTGCCCCCAACACGAGTGAAAGACTTACACGAGGTAGACCAATGTCACAAATGCCAAGTCAACGCGCGCCAACACCATTTACCTGCCCCCAGAACTCCAAGGTAACCTAAACTCATGATTGTTCGCGTAATGAGGGTGGACCTGTTAGGACCCTTCCCTACCTCTAAGGGCAAGCGCAAGTACATCATCATGGCGTTGGATTACATCACCAAGTGGATGGAAGTTGAGGACTTGGCCTCCATCATTTCCCATCACGTCACCCGGTTCTTAAAGCAAAGCATTCTAACACATATTGGGGTTCCACGGTCACTGATCTTCCGTCACGGGAAACAATTCGACTGCGTGAAAGTCATCAATTTTTTTGACCAATAGGAATCATAGTGTGCGTCGCTTCGGTTGCTTATTGATAGAACCTGTGTTAGGGATTATATCGATCGGACTGTGGAATTGGGATTTAGGGATTAAAGAATAGAATTAGGGTTTTGAGAAGAGAAAGATAGAGATTCGGCCTAGGCCTTTAGAGGGATTGAGATCGAGAATTGAGAGGATTGGGATAATAGGGATTAGGAGAGATTTATTAATATTCTTCTTGATTGCTCCTGAATAAAACGCAAGTACATATTTATAACGAAAGAACTGGAAAACCCTAACAATTAACCTAATATGACTAAAAGACTATTAACCCTACTAGTAATTAACTTAATGGTAACTATAATAATAGTAAGACCATAATAGAAACAGTGGGTTTCTATCATCCGCTCCCCCTTGAGAACAACCTTGTCCTCAAGGTTGTTATCAAATCCATCTCCACACTTCCAATCCTCTCGATAATGATTCGGTTGGGATCCACGCTTCCTTTTCTTCCAATTTCGTTCACGCACTCGAACTAAGCTTCTAGTACTAGTAGCTGCAGTAGCCCCAAAACCTTGCCATAGGTACCATCAAAATCATTTGCAGCAGGTGCGGTTGAAGTCAACAAATCTCCCAACTGCCCCCATTTTATTGTAGGCCACGTCTCATGCATGATAGTAGATGACCACATAAGAGAGGCGACGACAAGCATTGGATCTGCCGACGTAAGGAGTGGATCTTCATAATCAGTCCCATCTACTCGACGATTACCTTCACTATAGATGAGATCCTCCCAAGCCACCGAAAACCTTGCACCGAAAACTCCACCTAGTAGCACATACCGAGGGCTCTCATGCCCATTCTCCCTAGCTAGTGAACAGTGATCAATAATGGACTTCCTACTAGTGCTCACCTCTATTTCCACTTTACAATTCCTTTCCAACCCACAACTAGCGGCACCATCACCCCTCCTCTCCTTTAACTTGAACATCGCATCCCCTGTATGTGTCCAAATCCAAATAGAATTGTAAAAAGCTTGCACTTCTTGTTCCACAACTCTCACAGGCGATGGCCCTTGAACAAGTGCATGTTCCCTGAAGTCCATGCAGGTCCATTGCACTTCTTCCTCGCCTGCGTTGACCGCCGGTATCTCGTTGCATAAAGTTGCCACTTTGCGGTTCTCATCAGTACACTAGACACCTCTTACAACCGCTTGCAACTCCATCTTGAGATCAGCAAGCCTGAATGGAAAACCATAAGGGTGATCGACTTCCCCTGTTTAGTTGTCTCCAGCCCTCGCCACGCCCAATCCTGGGCCTTTCTCGAGCTCGATCATCAGTGCCTTGTGCTTCTTCCGCTACAAGACTACAATCTGCCGCTTACCATCTCTCTTCTTCCTAAGTTCCCAATAATTAATTGAGTGCTCCAACTTTGTTCCCCATCTAAAGCTTTCTTCAGCAACCAACATACGACCAGTTGGAAAGAGATGTGAGATCCCTAAGAACCCATTGTGCAGGAGTGAAAAACCTTGATGCCCCATATTCAGCTCAATGGTGTTCGCGGCGTCAACAATTTTCTTGGCGGCAAAGGCGAAGTAGTCCACCGACTGTGAACTGTGGTCGTCTCCCATGACAACCGACGACAACAACCTGACCTCAGCTAGCAGAAGATCATTTGATGGTGGTGGCGGCCACGATGGAGTGGACGAAGGCGACTTTGGTGCGGCATCTCTGTCCTCCCTCTCATTCGCCGTCATCACGGATGGAGTGGCCGTAGATTCTGGCTCCAGCTGACTCGCCTCCCTCGGATATGAACGCAATTCCTTCCTCGCCTCCCACTTTGTCTTCCGACCCATCATGGCTGATGTCGAGGGAGAATCTCGATTGTTGATGGTTGCAACCTTCAATTCTTTCTTTCGTAATTTCCAGCTGAACTTATCGATTCCCTTGTTGTTGGGATTGGGGACTTGTTGCATCGAAAATCTTGATTTCATACCCAGTTTTGCCGTTAAATCGTGCGTCAACTCTCGCCAAACGAACGTCGATTGTGATTCTGGCTTGCGCAAGGGCAATGCGACGGTGGACCCTTGGGAAGCGGCCGACCTATAAATAGCTTCAAGAGAAGCGGCATCAACTTTGGTGTTGCTGCAATATCCCCAACCACTGGAGTTGCTGTCGACGTTAGTTGTGGATGAGCCACGACCTTCTCTGTCATCAATGCGTGGGACCGAATAGCGACAGCAAGCTTGTGAGGCGGAGACACGATAGCCGAGAAGTCATCGGCAACCGCCACGGCTTCTGTTGGAGGCGATGGTACCGTGGGTGTCTCAGCCACAGGTGGTGGTGTGGCTGTGGCAACAGGATCTTCTTCTTTGACATCCGTTGCCGACTCCCCACCCATAACGCCGTTGTAGTTCGCTTCCTCGCCTAGCAGCGCCCGCGACAGCTCGTCTTCCAATGTCGGCACTGTCTTTGCCACTCCAGCACACCGCCGTGTTGCAGCAGCATCGTCCACAGTAAACGTCCGCCCCCGCTTCCGTGCCTCTCCTTCCTCCGCCGGCCTCACCGACCCTCCGTTCCCCGTCGAGCGCAGTAGGGCCTCACGCCACCGCGCCCCTGCCGCATCCGGCCGGTCCAGCATCCCGGGCCGTCGCGCCAGGCCGCGCACCGCCACGACCTCCCTGCCATGCTCACGCGTCGTCTTGGCCTGGTCGGCGCGAATGGCGTCAAGTTGTTGCTGCACACATGTCCAGTCCAGATCAGAGAGCCTTGATGAGCTCATGTTGGCTCTGATACCAAATGATAAAACCTGTGTTAGAGATTCTATCGATCGGAATGTGGAATTGGGATTTAGGGATTAAAGAACAGAATTAGAGTTTTGAGAAGAGAAAGATAGAGAATCGGCCTAGGCCTTTAGAGGGATTGACATCGAGAATTGAGAGGATTGGGATAATAAAGATTAGGAGAGTTTTCTTAATATTCTTCTTGATTGCTCCTGAATAAAACGCAAGTACATATTCATAACAAAGGAACTGGAAAACCCGAACAATTAACCTAATACGACTAAAAGACTATTAACCCTACTAGTAATTAACTTAATAGTAACTATAATAATAATAAGACCATAATAGAAACCTTGGGTTTCTATCACTTATCCACTAGCAAATGGGCAAGTAGAGTCAGCTAACAAAGTAATATTACAAGGTATGCGCACCTGCCTCGCTGATGCAAAAGGCAATTGGACGGAAGAATTAAACACTGCACATTGCACCACGTGTAAGGTGGCCTCAGGCGAAATCCCATTTGCGCTAACTTACGGCACAGATGTAGTAATACCAATCAAAAATTTGATGCCAACATGCAAAATTTTAACTTACAACAATGCAGCGTGGCAGGCAGACTTGGAGTTCGCCAACGAGCGGCGCAAATTAGCAGCCACTAGACTCGCGGCGGGAAAAGCGCAAGTGGCCAAATACTATAATACAAAGCTCATTTCTCACAATCTAAAGTTCGGAGACCAAGTATTGAGATGGAACTTCCATCCGGCATGGTAAGTTAGCAGCCACGTGGAAGGGTCCATACCAAGTCCGGGAGGTAATAGGCCCCAACGCATTCAAGTTACAAGAGCTAACCTGGTCAACAGTCCCCGGGACATGGAACGCCCAAAAATTAAGAATGCACAATCCTGCGATGTGATATTAATGAGCACTAAGGTGCGCGGTTACCCTCAAATTTAATAAATCCTATCAAAAGGTTCAATAATAGTGAAGAAACCTATGCGAAGCAGGTCTACAAAACGTATTCGTGACTAGCTAAAGTATGCAAGCAATTTCACGGAGCAACCCAATCATAACTGTTTGAGCCTAGAATGTACTAGGCGGGTTTGCGGAACTAGCAAGGCGACCGATCCGGATGATGGGGGACTCCAAGCTCCTGCAAAACAAGGGTCCTTGGGTGATCACCCAGGACACCCTCCAAAGCTCAAGTTAGAGAGAGAGAGAAATCTTGTAGTAATGTTTAGAGAGAGAGAGAGTAGTTGGTCTACCATCAATGCATATATGAATGTATTTATAGTGGTCTGGGTTGGGCTTCGAGCATTAATGACCATGTCAGGCGCCCTATACCTTGTCTTACTTTATTTAGACCGCCTACGGCGGCAATTAATGCTTAGTCCTGCAGTATTCGAGGTGAGTATCCTAGGAAGATCTCCCATTATGCCCCTAACGGCTCTTTGTGTCAGGCGCCCTAGTACCTGTCATGTCCTAGTATGGCCGCCTTCCTTTATCTGTTTTCTTGTGTGTTACGTTCCCCCAGACGTCTTCTTGGGCCCTTTGGACGGGCCTTACCCTTCTGGGCTTCCAAGCCCTATATTGCTCAGCTATGGCCCAACAATTGCCCCTTAGTCGTGAAAATCACGGATTTTGGCGGCTACTTTATGTCCTTTGATAGCTGAGCGGTCCTTTCATTAGCAGCTGTCTACCCTTTTGCCCCCTGGCCGCCGCAGATCCGTGATTTTCTGGTCGACCGCCTCCTATAATGTGTTGCGTTGTTCAACTGCGCTGTCCACCCCTCTTCAGAGCATTGATTGTTTAATTCCGAGTGCGCCCTGCAGGTCCACCCCTTTTTTGGCCGTCCTTTTTCCTTGTTGATACGACTCGAAAGCGGGCTTTCGAGTCGCTTCGTATCTTTAGCGGTTGAGCTGTTCACCCCTTTTTGCTCGCTGCTCCTGAGCATCCATCTGGAAGGCTTCCAAGCGTCCATTGTGGGCTTTTAAGCGGTTTCGCTGTCCACCTCCTCTTGACCTTCAGCTTGTTAGCTTGTCCCCTGATGGCCGCTTGTCGATTGGCCTTCCACGCCTCGCTATGCCGCCCATAAGTCGCGCCACGTGTCTGGTCTCGGCTTTCGTGCTCTGACAGCGGGCAACTTTACGTCCAATCACCTGCCCGCAATTTGAATTACACAGAGTAGGGTTTGCCCTAGGTCTCTTCAACCGTCGCTTCGCTGCCCCTTCCTTGCATATTTATATCTCTTTCTTCTTCTTCCTCCTCATTTTCCTTCTCCCAGTATCTCACTTCTTTCCCGATTCTCTCGTCAAAATTGCTCGGTGCTCTCGTTTTTCCCTGTCTTCCTATCTCCGAGACAATTCTTCTTTGTCTCCGCCGAGAGCAGCTTTCCTCGTTAAACTTCGACGACGTCAGAAACGGGAGAAAAGAAAACTTCGAAGGCAGATGGCAATCGAATCGCAAAGTACTAGTCATTCCGATAGCCAAAATCGGAACCTCTCCGGCGACGTCGTCACCGTCACAACTTCCAGTGACCTCGCGGTTACTGCCTCCGGCGACGCTCGCACTTCCAGTGCCGGCGGCAGCGTTCCTCGGTCCTCGAAGTCAGGGGGAGGATCTGACGGAGCGCCCTCTGGCAACCGGCAAGTGAATCCAGGTAACTTTAGACTCTACCTTTGCACGGTTTATTCATAGACTTAGGACTTAGAATTGACATCACTAGTACGGCGTGAGGTGTACTTAGACGGTCTTCGTTATGACCTTTTAGGGGTAGAACTGGACACGGCTTTTGACGTGGGAACGTCGGGCGGACGACGTGGAGCGTCTTCCTTGGTCGGGGACAACCTCGGCGACTTTGAATATTCAGAGGCGGAGAGTGAACCGCCTGCTAACTATACGGACCGCCCCGGGGACGCCGAAAAGGAGTTGTCCCCATCGCTAACTATATCTGATGCTCTGCCGGTGGGCGCTTTCCAGGCCGTCCGCGACACCACCTACCGCGTACGGTTACACGAGGACATGTGGGAGGGGGAGCCCGTGCCGTCCAGCGCATACGAGCAGGGACCGCCTAACGAGGCAGCATACAACCCCCGGCAAGTTCTGCGGCAGTTGAAAACGCATAGCCTTCCCACCGACTGGGATTATGCGGCCCCTTCTCCGGTTGGGCGGTCAGGTTCTTGCCCGGGTGGGTGGATTCCCATACACGTGGAGCACCTTCGGATGGGCCTGACTTTTCCCATCGACCCTATCCTTACCCGGACGCTCCTTTTTCTGAACTGCACGCTGGGCCGCTTGTCTCCTGGTATAATTTTTCATTCGATTGCCTTTAGAGCGGCCTGTGCCAAGGCAGGCGAGACGCCTTCGTTTGACGCGTTTCGCCAGCTGTACAAGATGAGGGGCTCCGAGAATTGCTGGTCTTGCTACCGCCGTGAGTCGCAGGTTGGGATCGTTAGCGGGGCGCCTAAGTTGGATTCCCCTTGGTTTAAGGAATACTTCTTTGCTCGTCCTGCGGGTAAGTGGTATTCTGGAGAGGTTGAACCGCCCACAGGCTTTGCGTCTGGAGACAAGAAGGATTGGAACACCGATACTGACGGTCTTGGTCTTGTCAAACCCTTGTTGAAGAGGCTCACGAATGCTTTTCAAATTCGTCTCCCCCCAAAGGGGGACGATAATGCCTTGGACATTATTCACCGTTTTCACGGTTAGTTGCTTTACTTTTTGTATTAAGTGGTTCTCTCACGTCTTTTGTCTTTAACTTGGTTCGTTCTTTAGGTACGCGGCGGTATGCGTCTTCCGCACGACCGCCGAAGCCTGGAACCAGTGCTCCTGCCTCCCCTGCTGCTGCGGCTGTCCGTCCGGTCCCGGCGGTTTCTCAGCTTCCCCCGTCTCAGAAGCAGCTTGTGGCTAGTCATACGGGGGTGCTGAAACTCTCTGAGCCTGTTCTGCCGAGGACATCAGCCAAACGGCCCCTTGATATCACGACCTCAAAGGATTTGAGGGTGACCGCTGGAGAGCCTCGGTTGAAGGGAGCGCTCGCCGAGGGCTCTACTCCGTTAGACGCCTACGTTGCGCCTAAGAGACCGAAGAGAACATCTGTTGATACCTCCGTCTCTTTTTCCTCGCAAGCGTCTCTGTACCCAGCGGCTGCCAAACGTGCAATGCACGTTATATCGGAGGGTTTGGCGGTCCCTAGTGACTTCACCCCAACTGCTGGAACTCCTGTGCTGACTTCTGATACAAAGCGTCTGGCGGCCACTACGTCACGTCTGTTCTTTGCGGTATGACGATCTCAATTTGGTCTGAACTGACGATCTCAATTTGGTCTGAACTTTTTTGCTATCCTTGTGTTTAACTCTTTCTTTGTACAGACCCAATTTGGTTTGAACCAGCTTATGCTGGAAAATGACCGCCTGGAGAGCAGATTGCTGGACGCTCAGACACAGGTGTTGAAGCTGGAGGACCAACTCAAGGAGGGCCGCGAGGGGGTAATGGCGGAAGTGCGGGAGGACATCTTGAAGGAGCAGGAGCAGGCGATGAAGGAGAAGGATGCCCAGATCGAGGCGGGCAAGGAGTTGACTAAGAAGATGGAAGCGGACGCGGAGCGCCTCCGATCCGATTTGAATGAGTCTCTGGCTCGAGAAAGCGCCCTGCAGGTCGAGCTGTCTAACCTCCGATCGGAAAAGTCCGATCTGCAGGATGCTCATGAGGCTGCCTTGCTGAGGGCCGCTCAGGAAGCTAGGGACACCTTCTGGACCTCCGATGACTTCCGCATTGCTGATGATGCGAAGTACAAGAAGTTGCTCCGCGACACAGTGGCTGCCATCCGTCATTGGTTCCGCCGTGAGTATCCGGAGGTGGTGTGGGACACCAACTCGATATGGGACGCGGTCGAGTTTTGGAGTGACGAGGACGTGAACTCTGAGTACGTTGCGACGCCCCCTCTGGAGAATGCAGCAACTACCATGGTCGAATCTGCGGAGACCGCGAGGGATGGCGAGTC